CATTACATGAGTTATTTTCCTTTTTTTTTTTCCTATTTAAGGATGTTTTGGGCATCTATTAGATGTTTGTTAAAGGCCAAAGAATACATCAGTTTATTTTTAAAATAACAATATGAATATTGTTATTTACAATATAATAACAATATCCATATTTTATTTAAACTATACTAACAATATCAATATTGTTATTGATAATATAATAACAAAAAACATATTATTATTTACAGTATATATAAAGAAATTGTTCATATTCTCACCTCATCACCTGGAGATTGACTCATCTTAACTATTGCCGGTACCTGTAATACTGCTGCTTCTTCTATGATGCTTTTTATTTCTACTGAATGAGAGATTTCCCTTGACAGGAAAGAGAGACGTAATTCTTGGTAAATTAAACTTTTGAAAATGAGATAATAAATAACATCTGAGTTGGGGAGGGTCATCGTTGGTGGTGCTGTGTTTAGTGTGGGCAGTTTCTGAATGTACTGAGAAAAATTCCAGTAGTGAACTACAGGTGCAGAGCCTCTCCTGTCTCATCCCCTCTGGACCTGAACAGTACAAATCACAGGAGGTCAATACCTTAGCAAGCGGATCTGTTTCATGGATTTATTCTGCCTGAGGAAATAAACAAAACAACACTGCTTAATCTGCTTACTGGTCATATGTGACTATACATACTGTATAAAACCTACATTGGTCCATTAAGGCTCTTTTCATAGCAATAATAGCTTTAGTCTCCTTGAAGGCATACTGTATTTAGGGATAATTTAGAGCTGAATAATAACATGGAGCACTCGGAACTGGGACTGGTGTCTATAAATAAACTTTTCTGTACCACAGAATACTTGGTCCTACCCTCAGTAGTCATTCAACTAGCAGAAATCATACTGGACAACAGATGTTGACAAACCACAAAATGCTGAACTACAGAGATTCAGTCTGCAATTGATTATGAAAAGCTGTGTTTACTTGTTTTTTGGACAATTAGAAATGACTTGCAGAAAGTGGTTCATTGGGTTTCAAATAAACTATTAAAATAGTTTACAGAAGTTCACAACCGAGACTTTGTACTTCCTTGAAAATGTGCTCTTTGACAAGGTTTATGGTCTCTTACGATAAGCCTTTTATTTAACTATGTTAATAGGGGGTTATCCTGATAGAGCCTGTTGCAAAAATGTTCAAGCTGGCCTTCTAAAATAATCCAGCCTTCCCCACTACCCTGCAAAACCCTATCTGAAGTCATTTCTCACTGTAAGAAATAGCTGAAAATCACAAATTAGTTCCTTTAAATTCATTTTCTGATCTTTAATAATAATAATAATAATAATTAATAATTGCTTACACTTATATAGCGCTTTTCTGGACACTCCACTCAAAGCGCTTTACAGGTAATGGGGACTCCCCTCCACCACCACCAATGTGCAGCATCCACCTGTGCGACGGCAGCCATAGTGCGCCAGAACGCTCACCACACATCAGCTATCAGTGGGGAGGAGAGCAGAGTAATGAAGCCAATTCATAGAATTTTGTCTCTACAAAAAGTAAAGATAGTTCATGTGTTTGCAAAACATATTGCCCTATAAATAACAGAAACCTGTGTAAGCTACACTTTCACACATATTACTGTTTCCCTTTGCTTTTTTCACAGGAGCACATCACTTGTCTTGTATGTACAGAACCTGAATCATTCAAAGGCGCTTCTTAAGGAATCTGTGTGATGTCTATGTGCCTGTGGCACAGAGCATTGCCTACTGAATAGCTCTTTAATTTACAGGTCCACGGTGAAAGAAGGCACTGATCACTGATATCTTTGTCTGGAGAGATGTTCATTGCTGCTGTCGTCCTTTTACAAGCGGTGTGATCAAAGACAATGAGCCCTTGTTTTGGAGAAAGAAACAGGCAGAGATATTGTTTTTTAGAATGCTAAGCAGCAGGGCAAAATAAAGCATGAAATAAGAGACAGTGTCAGGGGGGAGTGATGTCAGGGAAAGTGACATAATGGATTTTGTAGCAGTGTGAATATTATAACCCTTCAGTTTGAGAACTTGATGCTTGTGGTACTGGTACGGCCTGCTACTGAGGGCTGGAAGGCAGGACAAACTCAAGAAGCGACAGGAGTAATGACAATTGACACAAACAACTGATTCCTTGGCTCTGGAATGTTATTGACGGAGGCTGAGAAGTGTGCTGAATAATCCCACATTTCTCTTACGGCGTGAAATATCATTACCTGCCTTATGAAATGTTAACAAAGCCTCCTTTAAATCCAAACATATTAAGAAATAAATTGTGAAGTGGCCCCTGGATCATTGGGCAGAAAACTGGGGACATGACTAGAGACATCATCAAGCCTGTTTTTGTGGGCTCACAATACATCAGCATTTATAGGATTTACAGTTACAGTAGCACCCATTGATATGTACTGTATGGTACCTCTGAACAAGTGCTTTATAAAATGAAATAGTTGTCTGCACAGTATAAAATTCATTATTTGGCAGATTTTTGTTTGACCGATCTGTCACTGTGACAGATAAGGCTCCATTAATGCTATGACACACACATGTAGAGCACTAATACACTGTGTGACTGCAGTTTTGCTATCAGGATCTATTTTTTATCCATGCAGGAGACTGCCTCCTCTCCATGTAGCTCCCAGCTTCCTCATTTGAATTGCTTTTCTTATTAAAAGAGGGGCTGCCAGGATGTGAAAGGAACATGTTCTCCCTTTTAGATTTCCAGAAATTCTTCTGAATGATGGAAACCTTGGCTAATAAATAGCCCAAAGCAAAAACAGATCTCCCAGCTGCGGGTTTGACAAAAAAACAAACAAACAAACAAACAAGAATGGATATACTGTATTGTGTTAATGGTTTTTCAAACAGAAACCATGAAATGTCGAAGAAAAAACTGCAGATAAAGGGATCAATCAATAAATAATACAAGTACCCTGGAACTGGCAAGTCCTACACAGCTTTCAGGTCTGATCTTGTGAGGACTCGGGTGTCCGCTTTTTGATGAGATAGTGTTGTTGGAATATTTGAAGACTTTCTTACACCCTGGGGAAAAAAACAAAACATGTTCTCGCACAAAGAAGTGGTTTCCATCTGCATTTTTAATGTGCTGTGCTTCCTGTCATGAGTTGTATTATTAATTTTTTGGGGTTTCAGAGTAGGTTCCATCTATTACCTGTTAGATGGTTTTACGGTAATAGGGGCATGAAGGAGTCTACGCAAGCAGTGTAAAACTGACTCTCTGGGGCTCTGGGGGTGCTTTGTGGCACCTAGTTCTTCAATTCTTAAATTATACTTCTGGGAACCAAAATAGCAGTCAGTTGCTAAACAAGGTGTGTTTGGTTAAGTGGACGGGACCTGCTACAAAATGGGACTAGGATCCACCAACCTCCTTAGGAAAAGCTATCATAAAGAATCTAGTTACTTGTTGAAGGAAGTCACTGTTGTGTGTCATTGTTTTGTTAACTTCTACGTTGCGTGGAGTTAAATGTTTAGCCTTTCTCAAGCAGATATTTCTGGCTTTATGTATGACTGTAGCTCCAAGATTGAGTTTGATATTTCTGGATTTTGGTTTCCTTGTTTTGCAGTTCAACATTTTACTCATCATTTACTCATCAGCTTTTTATTATTTTTTTGTTTGGTATTAAATAAAGCCTTGATTTAAATAAAAGAAAGACTCTGACATATTGCAGTATTTCCTGAGGTTCGTAGTGGTTTGGCATTCTGATTAACACAATCCATGAAGTTATGAAGGAATAATATAACATCTGAATATTTCACATCTGTGATGTTGTGTTAAAAATAAGTGTGTATTATTTTTAACACATGCCAAGTGCCAAGAATCAACACTACCATTAGCAGTTTAGCACAAAAATGTAAAATACAATTTTTATAAAATTGTGTGGTATAAGACTGCCAACAAATTTATAAAAAATGTATTTTAAATATATTTTTTTGTAATTTTATACAATATATTTAAAAAAATAATTTCATAAGAATAAAAATAATTGTATGCTTTTTTGTAATTTTATTTTAAAAAGTATGGGGGTATTGAAAAATCTTGTTCTCATCTGTCAGTCCCGAAAAGTGTATTTGAATAAAAGACATGCATGTATCAGAGTTTTGTACAAACAAGTTTAATAAGTTCAGTTCATGGATGAGTCATATACTGTAAATAAAAAACATGTAATTCAGTGGAATGCAGGTTATGTGGTTGTTTTGTTGGAGCATAAACAGATGAACAATGGGTGTTTTGGTAGGTGGGATGTGTTAGAGTGTGACTAAAAAAAATAAATATTTGTTTGCATATTACAATTAGAAAAAACATGTCTCCAGTGGTAACATAAAGGCCCCCTTCCACTGTATCTGCATGGATGCTCTCCATCAATGTCTTCTCACTGATTCCACATACTGAACTCCACATGCATAGAGAGTTTGTTATTCATTGATATTTGTAATTAATATTAATATAAATCAAGAGTTTAAATAGAAGAAAAAGTTAAGTTTTTTCTATTATAATATTGTGTACACTTTTGGTAAAGTGAAGAGTGGCCACTGACCAGGTACAGTATATTTCCAGGCTTAAAGGAAGGTCACATGGTAACATGTTAAAATGGCATGGATCTCTTTAGTCTCAAGCAGAAAAGACTGAGGTCTTGATTTCAGAATCCTCAAAGACATTGCTGATGTCAGTCCAATGGCTGAAAAAATGAACCAGTTGAGCACTGAAGCGGAGATAAAGGGAAAGTATTGATAAGAATTGGAGGCACTTTTTATACAAAGGATTATGAGAGTCTGGAAGAAGCCTTATCCAGCCATGTTGTTAAAGATAATACTCTGATTTTATTTATGAAATGGCTAGATGATCAGGATGAACTGATTATAGGAATAAAGAAACAAGCTGGATAGACCGAATATGTAACATTATCATTTGTAACCTTTCTTATTTAATGATTGTCTCTCTGATTGCTTTCTGTCTCTGTTACACAGCTGTCAGGCTCCTTGGTGCTAGCAATTGGATTGTGGCTGCGGTTTGACTCTAACACCACTTCTATTTTTGAATTGGAGAACTCCCCTTACAGCTACTATGTTGGTAAGTTATGGCACCTTCTGGGTAAAGGCTTCTGTGCCTTTTACAACCACATGGCAGACATGGGGAAGAGGACCGATGGGGGGAAAACAGTTAATTTAATGAGCAGGTTAAACTTCAATGTTTTCCTTTAAAATGTCAAAACTCAAAATGAAGAAGAAAATGCTGATTGCTCCTGTAATCCTGGTGATTAAAGAGAAGGGTATCCATCAACAGGTGCTATATCCCTGCCCACAAGGACTAAAGCCTTGTACAAATGCCACCAAATGTTGACCAAATGTTGGTCAGATTGTGATGCCCTGTTACCACCCAATCTTTTTTTGATGATGTAGGGGTTACCAAGCAACCCAAGAATTTTAGTGACTATTTTTCTCGTTCAGAAAACCAGGGTAACAGGAGTAGCTCAATGCTCCCTCTCATTTAAAAGGGTAGCTATCACCCAGTGAAATGGTAATATATGCAGTATCAGTGCTGTCTCATAGTGGGCCTGGCAGAAAATTGTGGTACAATTGTAACCATAACCCAAATGCCTAGGACCACATCTGGCTGGCAGAACCTTGAATAAGGTATTTGGGGGGCTAGCTAGCCACAGTGCAAATGTCAGAGTACATGAAAAGTGACCCACATTGTGACTGTGCCTCTGATGCATCACAAGCCCTGCTAGAGGACAATGGCCTACATGGCCTACAATGGCCAGAGTGGAAAAGGTGCCATTTTGACAGGACCTGGTACTACACTCTAGATCTGTAACAGCCAAACTGTAAGTCAGTAAGTGAGTTGCCTGAGTACGATCTATATACTGTAACTGCTCAAGACACTAACAGGGCATAGCGTGTTCAGATGCTGGTTCTCGTCTGAGGTTAAGGGATGTGGTGGAGGAATACCATTAATGACACCTTTTGATTTACATGAAGTCCAGGAAGGACACTGTGTTATGGAGTAATTTAGTAGTAATCTAGTGATTGAGATTCCAGTCTCGCTTCTAGATAAATGAACAACGGTGCCCTGCACTGAGAGAATGTGGAGTTCATTAATGCATTTTGCTGAAGCAGTAGCCAACAAAATCAAAGTTCAGAAATCTGCCAAGGTGACAGTGGTGCAGGAGTGAGGGAATCGACCATGAAATCAAGGTATCAAGTTGTTCTCTGTAGACACAAACAGCTAGCACCTTTAAGGAACATGGTAGCCAAAAATGAAGCCCCAAGGGATTCTGATACAACATGCCCCCCAGAGTGAGTACCGACGTTCCAGGAGAGACCGCAAGAGAGAGACTCCAGGATCACGGCAAACAATCGGTAGACTGGGTATTGACTACAGCTGCCTTGTAAAAGACGTTCTAGCACTCTGGACATCAACGTAACAGTAATGGCTAAAAGCCAGCAAACATACGCTCTGTCAAATAGCTGCCAGATTATGGTACTTGGGTGTCACTGCAACAGCAGATCTGTTTGAAGCAGGATATAGCCAAACTGCTGCAGTCCTGCGGGTCCTGGGAGGCCAATGAGCAGGACTACTATCCACTGTTTCCTGACCTACTCTAGGAAGTGTGGAAGGAAGGGTTGTAGAGGGATGGTGTAGAGCCAAAGTGCGGCTGATTATGCACAAGGGCGCAAATACTCAGTAGGCTGTCCGGATCACTTATTGACAATGAAAAAAGGCAATGTGTTGAGCATTGCCTTCATAGTGAACCATGATGTTAACCCTTCCAGACAGATTACCATCTAGAGTATCTGGATTGCCAAAACAAGGCTAGTGGTGAATGGGAGATTTGGAACCTGATCAACCTCCTGTCCTCCTACCATTAAATAGCAGCCAATGTGTTGTCACGTAAGGAGTGCATAACACAATACATGACTGCAGGTGCTGAGGTGCAAACGTCTCATTAACCTCAGCTCACCGTGCCGAAGAATGCATGGAAAGACCAAAGTGCACAGTGACAAAGAAGGTTTAAATGGTGATCACAGAGTTGCAGTCATGCACAAAGTGCAGCTTGGTACAGCAACAGTCCAACAGCGGTGGGCAGTCATCACACACACAAACTGAAAGCCTGTTCCCTCCCTTCCTCCTGTTCCTAATAATTTTCCACTTTTTTGTTTCACTTGGAAGAAAAGGGCGGGAAGGGAAAAAGGGCAGTGAGTGCACCATGATAAGCAGAGAAAGAGGACCAACATCCCTCTTGGAATAAAAAAAAATAGAACATAAGGAAAATAAAGTTATAGTTCTCAAAAGCCTGTAGAAAAACACAGGCAAGTATAGGTAGTGGAAGGAGTGAAATGTATTCCTCAACCAAAGTCATACAAAATAATGCTCTTTCTTTATCAGGAGAAATAGAATTAAGGAGGGAGGATGAAAAATAAATTCCATGACCAAAAATGGCTTAAAGAACTGTAGGTGGTAAAAATACATAGAAAAATGTGAACTATCCCTTAAACAATTAAAGGTAGCTTTGAAGTAAGATGTTGTGTTGCTATTTTTCTTTGTGTTCCTGGAAAAAGGAAAAAGCCAGCTTGCATCTGGACACACACACACACCCTTGAAGAGGTGGACAGAGTTACAGATAGCTGTGTTATTCAACCGTGTGAGGGAACCAGACTTTATTTGTAGTTTAACAAAGAGTATATCCTTTTGTGTTTCAGCTGAGGCGACATACAGGAGGTGGAAAATCTATATAACAGACAACAAATGAATTTTATAGCATACTAATGATGAAAACAGCATTTGCACAGCACAGTGAAAAAAAGTTGTGTGGTCTATTACTGGAATATGTTAAACGTCAAAAACAAAAACAGGTTAACTGACACTCTTTTAGAAATAAAAACAATGGGTTTAAATAATCCTTTGAGTTGGAGATTGTTAAATGTAACATACTCTAGCTTTTATAGCCAGACTGGAGGTTAAGTTCAATGACAGCTCCCATTTGAAGCTCATTTCTATTCAATGTGGGCCCCTATTCCCAACCACAGGCTTAGATTCATCTTTCTTGAAAGTAATCAAGAACTTCATTTACTCTTCCATATTAATCCAGTTTTAGAGCTTTTTAAAAATCTAAGTGGAAAATCCTCAAAGTTGGGTATTTTTAGTTACCACTTGGGAGCTTTTCCAAACATTGTACTATACATTCGTTCAGAGTAGAAAGCAGAAATTTCAGGAGAAAAAGCTGAGACAAAGTGTGCCTGTGCTGTCAGACTGACCTTTTTAGTGTCCCACTAGCAAAGTGTGAGTCTTGTCTTAGTGGGTGTTTACGCCTGGGTGTGTTGAAAAACAGGAAGCAAGGCTGTGGATATAAATACAGCAGGGAAACCAGAAATCGACATGTCTGCCGCACTGCCAACATAATCTTTGGTAAGATTTAGTAAGTTTCAGGCATGCTCAAGTCCTGTCAATACAAGGTTTCATACTACACTGTATTCCTTAATATAGAGATATTAGATGCTATCTAAATAATCTTTTATTGTCTTTTTGCATTCTGGGTGTTGTCTGTTCCCCCTAGTCTTGTGTCATCAGAAACTTTAAACAGTCACTGGTATCCTGATCTGTGTGATTTATATAGAAAAGAACAATAGTCAAAACATCAATCCCTGTGGAATCACACTTCTTAAGTACTCCAAGTTTGATGCAGTAAGGTAATAAAGAGATTAATGTTCCTGCCCTTCCCTTTTTATAGCAAAAAAGTGAGCTCATACAATGTTTTATTATTTGATAGTGATGTCAAAGTTAGGAAATGTTATTTAAATACTGTATATCGTTTGTTGATCTTGTAGCTTTTCCCTTCTGCTGGCCCTAGACTTTGGTAGCCTTTTTGTCTATGAAAATTTGGAAGAGTCAGGCGTGTTACTCAGCGAATTGGCATTTCTATCACGCAGAAAACTGAACGTTCAAAGCTGAGACTGAGTGAATTCCGGTATAGTAGCTGGAACATTGTAGCTGGAAACATTTAATTGGGCAGCACATCCTCTGTGGCCTTTTGTGTCAGGTCGAGAGAAAGACTTGGTATCTTTTCTATAAATATCCGTACTGCAACATGGTGCAATTATTTCACTTTCTTGTTTTTCACTTAACATTTGTAGCATTGTCCTGGGTTAAGAGAAATTTAACTTCTCTTTTGGGTAGCCTGGGCATAACAGTCACTTTCCATTACACACTTGACTCTGACTTTGTTGATCTTATCTCTCATGTATTTCATTTCTCCTGTCTCTCTATTGTAATGCATAAACTGTAGATGACATAATATGTCAATTTCTGTCTCTTCATATGACCACAAATGGCACTTTTGTCAGTTCAAACCACATGAAGACTGTGCATTAGTTTGGAGTTTATAACAGAAGTTTGGGAGAAAGGTTAGATCTTAGTCTTGCACACTTCCTCTGGCCTGGGTATACACTGTATTTGCACCCTGGACTTCCTGTCACTTCCTATTCACCCTTTCAGCAATACTCTAGCTCACTCCTCGCAAGAGTTAGGAGGGTTTGGGGTTTTATTCCTTTAGCTAGTTCAATCACACCAAATACTTTATACATATTTTGTCTCTCTATTCCAATCATTGTGATTTAACAAAACCACTTTAATTAATGAGGGTGTGTCAAACTCATGTGACATTTGTTTCCCTTCTTTTTAACAGGGGTTAGTCAGTCAGTCTAGGTATGCTGTTCCAATTGTGTCAGAAATAGCCTAATAAGACAATAAGAATACTGTAGTATCATCAAACCAGCACCAGGACTTTTAATTGTCTACATGAATGATGGCACTGAACCCTGCTTGATTAATATTATTCAGGAAACAGGAAGGAGATCTGTGGTTTCCAGTTTTTGATTGAGGGTGTGCAACTCAATTAAGAGCAGCGTGGCTACAGTGGTTTGTATAGTGGCTATCAAAAGTATTCACCCCCTTGGACATTTCCATTTTATATATAAAATACATTTAGGATATATGATAATTTTGTTTTCATTTTGACATTATAGCGTCAATATAGACATTATATGCATTGAAAATCCAAATTAAATACA